TTAACAGCTTTATGTTTCCATAATATACTTGTAACAAGTCTATGAATAAAATTTGACCACAATACAACCTTAAAAATTAGCATATTTCATTTAACAGTTAACATATTTTAATTCTAAGTTAACAATTTTCTATCTCCATTATACATTTGTAATAAATTTTTGAATAAAGCCAGATCAAACATATACATCATGTGTTTTTCTTTTCTTTTATTTGCAAATTGAATTCAAAATATATTGCTTTTAGGGTTTCACTGAGAAGATTTATCAGATTCCTGAGTTTTGGTTAATGTGGTGTTTGTATAGTTCGATGTGGAAGGAAAAACATTGGAGACAAAAACTTGAGTTGTCACCAGTTCACCACTAATATTCATGCCACAACATTCACAGTCCATTCTCTTTTCCTATTTTATAATTCACAAATCATGAATAGTATGAATTATTTTATTTTATAAAAATATTGATTTTGACTAATATTTATATTGATATACATTTTGAGGGAAAGTAACTGCGCATATAAATCCAAAAAAATTAATCTAATTATTCGTCATGAGCCCTGCTTGTGCCTTATTGGGTTGTTCACCTAGCTTCTTGGACTTGTGCAAAAGCATGTGCACTTTCATAAAGATCCGTCTGTTCAAGGGCTTGACACCGAGAGAGAAAGATTTATATATATATATATATATATATATCTTTTTAATTGTTATAATCACAATATAGTATATAATTATACTATATGTTAGTATATAACAATATTATTAATTATCATTTGGCTTCTTCTACGTGATTCCTCATTTACTCACTTTGTTCATTCATTATTAATATCGAGACATACCATTTTGAGAAGAGCAAGATCCACTCGTCTTCATTGTGCATTTCCAGCCTTAACTTTACACGCCTGTAGAATATTTTTTCTACTCGATACTTTTTTTATAATTATATTTATAAGTCATGTTCAGCATATTTTATTAAAACAAAAAAATTAAACATTTTTAATCATGCCTTAAAATTTAATTAAATTTCTAAGAAAATAATAGTTTGCACAATAATAAAATGAAAGGGAAAATTACATATTTATGAAAAAAATTTAATAATATGTGACCTATAAAGATGACAAAAAAAAATTTTGTTCACTGATTTGTAAATAAGACCAGAGAAATACAAACAGTCAAATTAGGTAGATAAAAAGTTGGTTATTGGTAGTTTATGTGTTAAAACTAAAAAATGTTTTTTTGTCCAACAATACTCTTATTAATTAATGAGCTATGATATAATGTGTAACTAATAGGAAAAAAATAAAAAGAGCCAATTAAAATGTCAGACATCTTTTAAGTTAATTTTATAAATAGAATTATATCTGCCTCAAAAATTATATCTAACAGGGAATGATTAATAATAAACTAGAGTAAATTAAAATTCAAGGGTGATAAAAATAAAATGGTTGTGGCCTTGGCCCTTGTGGGTAGAAGTCAAAAATTCAAATTGTATTATGTACTACTACAAGAATTAAGAGATAGAGAGAGAAAGACTGAATCAATGCCCACAAAAAGGCACAGTCATATAAACAATACTGATGATTTTTCAGATTCTATATGTGATACGATGATACAAATGTGCTTAGTTACCAATTTTAAACTATGGCGCCACGTGATTTTGGTGATTGTGTGAGTGTGCAAACCAAGGTTGCTTTGAATCAATTATTTTTTTGTTCTTATTTAATAATAACTCCTTGTGACTCTTCATTTGCATGACTCGTACTATGTTTCACTGGGAAAAAAAAAAAGGATTATGAACCAAAATCTTTTGAAGAAATTAAGGAGAAAAATTAAAAAAAGGATCTTGGAGATCGAAGGAATAAGCCACGAATATTACTGTGCCTCATGCTGAGCCTTAATTCTTATTACAGGACTCAAATTTTTGTTGTGTCTTTTTATAAAATCCAATTTGAATTTGTCTAAATATTAGAGGTTTGCCCTTGATTAATATTTCTATCATTATCATTTTCCTATATGTTCTCTTTTTTTTTTTCCACTCTCACCTACCATTTATAAATAAGGGTATATTTAAAAATATATACATCTCGTATGTATTTATGACTTTTAATTAATTTTAATAATTTTTTAAAACTGCGCAATTCAGTTATTTAAATCTTACTGTACAATAAGAGACAGAAGGAATATTAATAAATATTAGTGTATAAAGGTACTTATATTATAATAAAAAAATAGGAGGAAGGCATCCCACAAATGTTTGGGTGTCACGTGCGTATGGCGATCCCATTTCCTGCTATTTTAACACTTAAATAATTAGTGTGCCATCGAGGATATGAGTTCCCACAACACGTGGATAAAATAGAGTCTTCATTCAATTTCTTATTTTCATTTTTAAACAACAGGACAGTAGATTGTATACGTTACGTACATTATTTAAAAATAGAACGTTTTTAATTGGGGAAAATGATATTTAAAAGACCTTCTAACAGCGTTAATTATAGCTAAAAGCTTTGAAATTTAGAAAACATGATCATCATCATTTGGGTGAAATTAAATATTTTTTAAATAAACATTGTCCCAATGGTTGTGTATAGTCTTTTGAGAAACAAAAGGTGATGAGATCAAATACCATCTTAACCAACTTTTACCTGAAAATTCTCCAACCAATGGCCATGCTCCATGGCTGCGGTGAGTTTTTTTTTTTTCCCTGCTTTTTATGTAAGAACAAGTAAGTCATTCCACGCGTAATGTTCTCTAGAGAGTTTATACACCACTATGGTCTTTGATACTATTTTGATTATTCGTATAAGAATTAGTTTGATATTTAATTTAATTTTAAATATAAAATTTTAATTCATTTTATTTTTTATATCTATTCTTTTTTTTAAAAAAATTTCCTTATAATATTTGTACGTCTTAAAAGTTCCATCAAATGATAATTCTAGCTAATATACATGATTAGTAAGGGCATTCTAAAGAAGATAATATCTATTTATTATAAAGAACTAACTTAACAATATTTCTTAATCTACTCAAATTAATTACTCAACTAGCTTTTTTATTAAAAACCGGAGGCAATACAAGGCATTGTAACATATTCTCACATATTAAGAAATGCATTAAATTAACAAAATTTTTTAACTTTATCCTTATTAATGTTTTCTCTATCTGAATTTACAAATCGTTCTCATATCCTTTCATTTTTATCTCCTTTTAATGAAAATTGAATAAGGGTAAAATTGAAAAATGAACATATACTACAAATCACTTATATTTAGGACTAAAATTTTTCTTTACAAGTGATTTACATATAGGATCAGAGTTATGGATGAATTAAAATATTTTAAGAGATCATTTTGGATTCCCATGTCTGGGAGGGCCCTTGGGTGTGTTTCTAATCCTCCTCAGACATATATACACATTTTAAATTCATTGAGAATTTATTGAGATTCCTTCTTCTGACACAGCGATATGTATTTTGACTATTTGCGATCTTCTCTTTGTTTATCCGCAAACACTTGGAACAAAATTCTTTGTAAGAAAACCTGAAACCTGGCGATATAAAACGTTGGCAAGTGGCAACAGACCAAGAACCCTGCTACAAGATGAATTAATTAATTGAAATAATCTGGGATGAAGTGAAGGTCACTGTGTAGGCTATAAATTATTACAAAGAAAAAGGGAAGTTTGGGCATTAGAAATAAATTCAATTGGGCGAAAGCCCGAGAGTTCTCCGGCCAAAAACAGTAACAAAAAGTGTAGAATACGTAAATCAAAATGCAGAACGTTAAAGGTAAAATTAAAATTTATTTTTTAATATGGTCATACCCTAAGAAAGAATTTGTATTGTATATATGTTTTGCGTTCTAATTCATGCATTTTGCATTTTTTCCCCTGTATTTTCTGCTGGAGAAATCTATTCCTTTTCCTTAATTAACACCAACTTAGATCTAATTGCATTTTCAAAAAGGAGAATGACAGTTATTAGATTCCAAAAAATTAATTTAATCACAATTAAATAAGAAATTACTAAAAGACGAATTGCAAATATCAATTAAGACATTTGAAGATATGGGAGTGCATGCGATTTGCAAAGAAGACACTAAAAAAAACAGTGTTTTGCAGCGGTTATTTTTACATTATAAAGTCACACAAATCATTATATTCTTAATAATTTACAATTGAAAACGCTCATAATTCCAAGTGTCTTATGAATTGGTATTCACAACTCATCTCGCAAACAATTTTTTTTAAAATCTAATTATCATCAAATTAATGTTTTAATACCTTGAGTCTCATTGCCCTTTCCCAAACCATCCTAACACATGCGTTGCACTTTATATGGGAGATAACTTAACCAAATACTACCTCCAGGTCCAATTATAAGAGCTAATTGACTAATTTGAGGAGATTAAGAAAAAAGTTAAGTTAATTGTTTGTAATAAATAGGTGTTGTCTTTCATAAAATATCCTTGCTAATCAAGTTTATTGGTTAGAACTATAATTGTTAGAAGGACTACGTTAGGAAAAAAAATACATAAATATGAGAGACAAAGTAGATTAGGATCTTATATTTAGAATCAAGATAAAAGTCAAACAATATCTTATATTAAGAACCGGAGGTAATGTGTGTGTATATATATATAACAAACAAATCACATTGATGTCCCTTATCTGTATATGTACTTATGTGCATGTGTATAAAATTACAACAAACCAATCTTTATCGAATCTTGTGTTTTTATTTTTCTTAACAGTAACGTAAGTAATAATCAACGTACGTTCCATCATATGACACACACACACACGTAGTTAAAAAAAAAAAGATTAAAATATAAAGTGGCATGTTTAGCGAGCCAATTATTGCTTTTATTTATCATCAATCTGGATGCTCTCCCAAATCCTTGGTTTATATAACTAAACTACTGTTCTCTTCTTCCTCATGCAGATATTACAACTGATTCACATAATAATTCATCAGCTTATTATTGTATCTTTCTTCCAGTTGTAATGGAGATGTCATGGCAGAGCTGGCTCTCCGATGATCTGGTAATAAATTAAAATCAATGATCCATATTTATACATGCTAAGTTATTTCTTCTGAGAAATCTGATGATTTTGATTTTGTTTTTAGGATTTGGATGAGAATGATTTCTTCAATGAGTGCAGAAAAAATTGCTAATCATTTGATGATGAGGAAGAGTTCCTTAGGGAGATCCTTCACCAACCTTATGAGACTGAAACTACTCCCTCTTCCATTATTCAGAACAACAATGTGGTCACCGTCACCACCACAGACGGTGGCGATGCCGCCATTACAACCCCTACCGTTGACGATTCCGGCAGCCAGCCAAAGCTTAACAGCTCCAGCTCAGTCCTCTCAGAACTCGCCGCCAGTTTATCTGACAAACCTGCTGCTCCGACCGCAGTATGGTCTCCATCGGCTTACATTCTGTCTTTCAATAACTCAACGGTATTACCGGCCTCCATGGATGAATGTGCAGTGAAGAGTTCTAATAACGAGCATCAATCAGAGAGTGGCACTGCACGAGGAGGCACAAAACGAACCCTAGAAGACGGCCCTAATAATGACACAAGGGCAAAACAAGGGACAAAGAAAACTAGAAGTTCATCTGAGACATTGGATCATATAATGGCTGAGAGAAAAAGGAGACAAGAACTCACTGAGAAGTTCATTGCACTCTCAGCTACAATCCCTGGTCTGAAGAAGGTCTGTTTGTTTCAATTCACTCTTCACTTCATTGTTATTATATTATGTTCCTCATTTTAACACATAGAGATAATTACGAGTTTTGATGCATTAGCAGATAGACAAGTCTTCTATACTTAGCGAAGCTATCAATCACGTGAAGAGTTTTCAAGAACGAGTTAGGGAGTTAGAGGAACAGAACAAGAAGATAAGTGCAGAATCATCAGTAGTGTTGTGTAGAAAGAAATCGAACCAGGTGCTCAACCCAGATGATGAAATGAGCTGTGATTATGATAATAATTGCTTCAGAAGTAGTAGTAATAATGAAGCACTGCCTCAAGTGGAAGCAAGATTTTTAAACAAAGAGATTCTCATCAGAATCCACTCTGAGAAACAAAATGGCATCATGCTTAACATTTTGTCTTTTCTTAGAAATCTTCATTTCTCCATAATCAGTAGCAGTGCCTTACCATTTGGGCCCTCCACTCTTGATATTACCATTATTGCTGAGGTATTATTACACTTCCCTTTTCATTATATTCCTGTTGTATAATAAGCATGGCTTTGAACCTAGCTTGGCCTAATCACATCACATTATTAAATTGATTCTTTGTCTAGTTTGCAAGGATGTACTAATTTATATGGTTTCTGTTCAATGTGTTGTAAAGACACACTAGAGTAAATAAATTTAAAGAACTCTATAGGTATCTGGAGATTTTGAGATTGTTTATTACCATCACAATTTGATATGATTTTTTCGTTATCTTTTTTACTTGAAGGTTGGTGACCAATGCAAAATATCAGTGATGGAAGTTGTGAACAAGATGAGAATGGCTCTGTTGAAGTCATCTGAGAACAAGAAGTGATCCCCCATGCTAGGTTAATTATCAAAAATTATAATCATCATTAGTGGCTTTATGGCCTAGTGATATGAAGGTTTTTCTGTAAGTGAAAGGTCATAGGTTCGATCCTGCTTATAATCTTAAGTCATTAGTGTCTGTCACTCTAAATTAAAAAAAGAAGAAGCATAATTATCAAACTAGCAGGAAGTAGCACTTCACTTATTTTAGAAGCCCCTAGATTGTAACTTACTCTCTTCTATGATTCATAATTTATGAATACTATGATTCATTTTATTTTATATTAATATTGATTGATAAAAAAAAACTGATTTGGGTATAAAATTTGTAACTTATTGTGACACTCATTAACTAATGTTTTTATATTTCTTTATATACATTCATTTATCCTAAATTCCTAATGCGTGAGAAGTAGTGAGAACTAAACTACCATAAATTGATGCTTGTGTCTTCAAACAATATGATCTATATACAAACATACACATATATATGTATAATATCCAACTATTTTTTTATGAACCCTGCTTTTGTATTGGTTTGTTAGCCTCCTTCTTGGACTTGTACAAAAGCATGTGCGCTAATTCATAATTAAAGATCTGTTGCTATTTAAGGGCTTGAGATATATATATATATATATATATATTGTTCTCTCTTTAATTATTATTATTATGGCATAATAATATATATTATATCAATAATATAATTTGGCTTCTTCCTTTTTTTGCCAACATCATTTGGCTTCTTCCACTTGATTCCTCACTCACTCATTCATAATTAACATCGAGACATACCATTTCTGTTCATTAAGAGAACAAGATCCACTTGCCTTCATCGTGCATTTCCAGCCCTAACTTTACACCCCTATCATTTTAAAAAAAAATACTATCCCATCTGGTCTTACATATTCAGATACGAATAACCGAATATATAGATAAAAATTTTTTTTGCTAAAATTGATTAAAAGCAGTAGATGGGTAAAAAAATGTATTTTATTTTCCTAATGTACCATATATATTTATGGAGAGAACATGTGTAAATGAGAAAGAATGGGCAAATAGGAAAAAGATGTAGATAATTAATGCAATAATATAACAGGTAATTAATGAGGATAAAAATTTTTAAAAAGGGTTAAATTTTAGACATTCTTTGGTGTATTTTATAGATAGAATCAGGCCAAAACCAAAAACTATATTTTATATATAGGATTGGAAAAACAAACAAAAGTAAAATTCACAAATAAGCCTCAAGTTATAAAGATGAGATAGGAGGTAAATGGAGGTCAGGAGTTCAAATCTTCCTAATATATTAAAAAAATTTCGGGAGAGAGGAGAGAGAAATAGAACTATGTCTGTTGGCCCCCAAAAACACTAAATTTTATACTCGATATAAGATCAGAAGGAGTGATAGATAATAAATTAGATTAAAATTCATAGGTGATAAAAATAAGATGGGGTATGGGTAGAAGTGAAAAATTCAGATCCTCTTGTATCTTTTAAAAAAAAATTCGGAGAGAAAGAGAAAGAATGAATCAGTCAACACAAATGGCAATATTCACAGGTCATATAAAACAATACTATTTCTGATTCTTAATATAAAAGCTCTTTTGATTTTTATTTTAATTATAAATATAAGATTCTAATTTACTTTGTCTCATATTTTTTCTTCTTAAGATAGACGTTGTAATAATGATAGATGTAACTAATATATTTGATTAACAAGGATATTTTAGGAAAGACAATACATATTTATTAGAAATAACTAACCTAACTAATTTTTTAATTTATTCAAATTAGTCGAGTAACTCTTATGTGAAGGACTAGAGGTAGTACTATATATTAACTCTTCTGATTCTATATGTAATACTTTATACAAATGTGCCAAGTTACAAATTTAAACTATGACACCACATAATTTGGGTGATTGGGTGCAACCTAATAACTAAGGTCGATCATTTTGAATCAATATGGGCCTGTTTGTTTTTGTTTTTTGTTTTTTTGTTTTCAAAACAATTTTATAAAATTGTTTCTTAGAACAAGTTTTGAATACAGAAAACAAAATAATTTGTTTAGATAATAATTTTAAAAAATCATGTTTGAAAAAAAAGATCTTAGAAAATTACACTTGATAAGTGATAGTTGTCCATAATGATAAGTGGTGGATAGTAGGTGAAAAGAGAAGAAGATTTGTCAAAATTTTTTTAAGAAAATAAAAAAAAACACAAAAAAAAACAAAAAAAAATGCACAAGTTGTTTTGGTTTTTTAGTTTTAAAAACACGTTACTGTTTTTTTAAAAAAAATCAACTAAAAATAAATTATCAAACAAGTTTTGTTTCTAGAAACAAAAAATTGTTTTTTAAAAAAAACAAACAAGTCCTACAAAACTTGTTTGGAAAAAAAAAGTCCTATATCTTTTTTTTTTCCATTTAATAATATACCTTCTGACTTTTCAGAGTATCATCATCATTAATTATTATTAGTATTATTACCAAAACTAGCAAGAAATATATATATATATATATATATATATATAATCCTACACTTTCTATATAAAGTTTATCTAAAAACAGACACAGTTCTAAAAATTGAAACCGAAAATGGAATACCAGGGCACATTTGCTTTTTGCTTAGCAAATTGTTTGTATGTGTATATTTCTTTTTCTTTTCACCAAAATAGCTAGGCATATGCGTGCTTGTGCAAATGTGTGTGGGTGCGTGCGTGTTTAATAAAAAGAGTAACGATGGAAATTAGGAGATAATATGCTTAAACTTTGGGAGAGAAATCATCAGAAGGGACGAAGAGAGGAACGATTAAAAACAGTTTGGAAACCCTAATTTTGGAGGAAGAAAGGTTGAAGGCAACGGGGTGACATCTCATACTAGTTTGATATGCCCCAATATTGCTGAAGAAATTGCCGATCGTTGATTTGAATTTCAAAAAGATAGCTCCACGTACACACATGGTAATGATATGCCACCTCCAGTTTTTAGGAGGGTTAAGGTTCAGGATGGGGCTGGTCCCAAAAAAAAAAAAAGGTTCAGGGTGGGAATACATGCCGGCTCAGCTTTTCAGGACTAAAATTTTAAAAATATTCCAATTTGTTAAACTTGGCCCATCAGGTGACGGGTTCAGGGTTGGCCTGCGGGCTTTCAACCTATTTAAGAAAAAAATATTATTTTTCATATTTCTGATTTTTTTTTATCAAAAAATGAAAACAAACCAATAAAATTATTAATAAAAGACATAAATATGAATAAAATTAAGTCACAAATACAAAAAATCTTCATATCTAAATACTCCTTCGGTCCTTAATATAAAACCTATTTAACTAATTTGATTAGATTAAGAAAGTTAGGTAAGTTAGTTAATTATAAGAAATGTGATACGTTTTTCCTAAAATACCATAATCATCTTTCTAATATCACATCTCCCTCTTCTACTTGATTATGGTTGAAAGAGTATCCATAGGGTAATTTAGAAAAAATTGATAAATATGAAAAATGAGTCTTATATTTAGGACCAAAACTAACTTAATAATTAGGTCCTATATTAAGGATCGGAGGAGTATTTATCAAATCTAAGAATATCTAAAGCATCCGTCAACAAGACAATAATATCTAAAAGTTTTTTTTTTGATTGCATAATATCTAAAAGTTTTATCAATAGTGTAAATATGCAATAGATAAACACTATCATTAATTTTTTGAAAGTTTATTATCACTATAATATCAATTGCTCTTCTTCATGAGTATGCTCTTCTTTCATAGCAAAATTAATATCAGGTTTTTTTTTATAGGAATTTCACTTTTAAATTTTACAGTTTAACTATTATTTTACTTTAATTTGACAAACATTGTTGTTGAAACTCATAAATTTCTAATTTAAATTATAGAATCACAAGTTATATAAGTATAAAAATACTCTCTTATTACATATATATAGTTTACAAATATCAACATATAAAATATAAATCAAATTATTACTAACGTCTAAATTAACCCATTTTAAAAAATTTAATTAGAAAAATATTGTCTAAAACCAAATGAATCAAACTATTATGTGAAATTTAATTTTAAAATGATAATAATTAATAAATATTTGAAATATTATTAACAATGTAAAAAAAATTAATAATACTAGAATTACACAAATTTTTTTTTTCAAAAAAAATAGTATAAAAGGGCCTAAACGTGCCAGCCCTCAAATCTCTAGAGCCGGCCCATTTAACCCAACTCTCATAATTTTCGGGCCTAAACGAGCTCCTCTCGTTTTCTTGAGAAAATACTTTAGAATGTTGAATGTATCACAATATACTTTAAGACGCTAGATACACCTGAGAAAATATTTCTGGATGCTGGATGCATCTTTATCCTTTTTAATAGAAGAGCCATATAACTAATTTAGGGATATCAAAAAAAATTATTTAAGTTGGTTATTTGTACCAAATTAAATATGTGTTTTGACTTTCTTAAACCGTCATATTTAATCATGTATTTTAAAACTATCTCTTGATAGAAACTTTTACAATCAATAGGATATTTTGGAAAAAAATTATTAATCTAAAAGACAAAGTGGAATGAGCTATTATATTTAGGTTCAAATGTAATAATTAAGGATGAAAGGTAGTATTTATCAGGCCAAGAATTGGTAACACAGTAAGCGCCAATTCATCATTATAGATGCTGAAATTGGAGTGATGGAAATGGAATTGAAATTAAAGCTCAAACTAAATGGCTATTTGGTACATCATATCTGGGTTCCGCGTGTGAAATCCTTAATTATTACATTTGACCCTAAATATTTTGCAAATCTGACTCATATCTTTCAGTTTCTTGAGTTTACCTTGAGATTGATTGAGAACTTCGTGAAGTTGACAATCAGAGAAATGGAATCTGCTGCTGTGAAATTCACTCAGCCGCATGCAGATTTTTCCAAATTAAACCGACTCCAAATAATACCTAATCCATAATCCAACTTCGTCATTGGTGAAATTCTTAAAATCCAAGTA